CTGTCCTAACCTGAGGGAGGCGCTGTGGGGCGCTCTGTTCTAGCCTGAAGGAGGCGCTGTGTGGCACTCTGTCCTAACCTGAGGGAGGCGCTGTGGGGCGCTCTGTTCTAGCCTGAAGGAGGCGCTGTGTGGCACTCTGTCCTAACCTGAGGGAGGCGCTGTGGGGCGCTCTGTTCTAGCCTGAAGGAGGTGCTGTGGGGCACTTTCTTCCAATGTGAGGGAGGCGTTGTGGGGCAGTAACGTCTAACATGATCAAAGTTGTTGCCTCTTTGGTAGAGGTTGTCATAGAAGCTCCAATCATCAGGCTGTACTTAATTTTCTTCTTTTCTATGGATTAAAAGATGCAGCAGGTCTTCCTGATTTTTGCCACTGTTTTCACTCAGAAATCACCGGAGCAAGTCAACAGATTGTCATTGGGTGAATTCTGCCGACAGCCTGTGATTGCAGCGGGTTGAGCGCACCTTGAGCTCATAATAACATTGGACAAAGCTGTGGTATATGAAAGTGATGGGCAGCGCCAGAAGCACTATGCCGCTCACCACACAGAGTCCACCAAGAACCCTTCCTGCCACCGTGACCGGATACATGTCGCCATATCCCACTGTGGTCATGGAGATAATGACCCACCAACATGCAGCCGGGATGCTGGCATAGTCCTGGTTTCCACCCTCCAGATCCAACCCGTGCTCCAGAAGCTGCGCCATCGCACTGAAGATCGCCATGGCAACACAAATGAAAACGAGAAGCATCACCATTTCACGGTAGCAGCGGCGCAGTGTCAGGCCCAGAGTCTGTAGGCCCAGGAAGTGACGGGCCAGCTTTATCACCCAGAAGATCCGCATCATCCGCAACACGCGCAGCAGGACCCCAGCCCTCTGCAGCTGCGAGTTCTCCCCTGTCAGCATCGTCGTGGTAACAGAGATGTAGTAGGGCATGATAGCCAGCAGGTCGATGATGTTGAGAGGACGGCAAACAAACTCACATTTATCTTGGGACACAAGGAAACGTATCAGACATTCCATCGAGAACCAGGCAATACAAACGGCCTCTATGATCCTGCAGAGGGGACAACCAACCAGAGACAAGACCAAACAGAGAGAACGGTCAGAGAGATCAATCAGTGCTAACCTAAGCTAAGCTAGCCTAAGCTAACCTAAGCAAACCTAACCTAACGATTCACTGATCCACAGAATCACTGATTCACTGTCCCAGAAACATGTAGTGTTGAATTAGCTGGTACTGACTCTTTACCGTACCCATTATTTATCTATGAAATAAAAGCTTTATTGTGACTGAGTTTTTTATGTGTCTTAAAGCGGATTTAAAGTTCCCGTATGATGCAAAATCCACATTATATAATTTCTTGTTACAGTCATATGTCTCCTGTGTATGAGATTCACCCATGATCCCCCCCAACTGCCTTCCTCCACCTCTTAGCTGTTTGTTCAAAATGCTCTGCTTGAAAATCATTCCCCTGATGATGTCATCAGGGGCATGGAAAGCTCATCAGAGATTTTTGGTAAAGCCTTTGCGTAATCTGAGAGGAATTTTCCTGCACATACGGAAAAAAACCTGCTCTAATATTTTTATTTTTAAATGTAGCATAATGTGGGACCTTTAACTGCGCCCTGATTAGAGGACCTTGATCTTCTAACAAAAGAGGAAAGCTGTAAAAATAGTAATCAAAGATGAGATTAAATGGTTTGATTGACAGCTGAAAGAGAGCACTAATCCTAAAAGCTTAACAAGTTCCAGGGGAGGGAACCAGTCTTAGAAGGGATGAAAAATGGACACATCAGAGAGAAGGAAATAATACATTGTTTTGATGTGGCCCACCACAGGTGAGAGGAATGACTTGTGGTTCCTACTTTGGTACCATCTGAGGTCAACATTAGTCCTGTTTCTTTCATAGTGTTCCAGCTGGTAGAAACTTAATGGGAGTTTGTTTACTAGCTTAAACATTAAAGGAATAGTACACCCAAAACATGATTAGCCTTCATTTTCTACTCACCCCCATGCTGAACAACACTCTGGAGTACTTTTTGATATCTCAAATGCATCTGGAGATCTGGGAGGCTTCTTGCTGTCTGCTGACATTCAAATAATGGAGGTCTATGGC